CCGCGGGCCAACTTTTCCAAGCGGGCCTTGGAGTGTCTCGTGTGGTTTTATGCGGGTTCTTCCTGCGGGCGGAAACGGTGGTTTGCGGGGTTTGTTGTTCGGGGTTGGTTTCTACGTCTGGTCCCACGTATCTCTGGATTGGCAACACGGAATATCGATTATGCGGGTTGTAACTAGAGACACTTGTGGTATACGTCGGCGAGGGCGTAGGCTTCACTCGCGACGATCGCCAAAATCCGCTTTATCCGCGTTATCCTTGACGAACTCGGAGAAGATAGCCCGGATCTGGTTTGCCGATGCGGCCCGGTTCGGGCACATCCGACTGATGTGTCCTTCCTGGCCGCAGTTGTAGCAGCGAGTGCTGCGGGCCGTAGCGGGGCCTGGGCCCGGTCGATCTCCATAGGCGCGGGCCCCGTCGAGGGTCCGGCGACCGTGGTTGCCCCGTTTCCTCGGGGTGCGGCCACGGTCGGTCCCGGCGGCGCTGATTGCTGCGTTTCGGGCCCACCCGTTGAACGGGTTGCGGTTACTGAGCCCGCTCTTGGCGGGGCGGGTGCCGTCGGGGCGTTTTGGCCCGAGGGTGGTTAACCTTGTGGCTTTCGTCGAAAATGCGGTAGCGGCGGAGTGCGCCGTCTTGCTTGATGGCCTCTGCCTTCCAGGCCTCGTAGGTGTCGGGAGCGTGTCCTTTCGGTAGACCGTGTTCGTAACGCCCGGAGCATACAGTTCTTGGCGACGAATAAGGTTGACGTCGTCGTAGTGCGCGACTTTGTTGAGAGAGTCGAGGACCGTGAAATAACTAGTTGCGTCCATGTCTTTGGTCTGGACGAAGGTTTCCATCTTCTGCTGCGCGATTTCGGCGTGAGCTTCCCCGCGGAAGGCCGCGACGAAGGCTTTCTCGAAGCCTTCGTACGTAGTATAAGCAGCTCATTCACTCAGAATTGCTAGCAAAATCTGGGCTACTGGTCAAGGGTGTTACTCACAAAACCTGGGGGACTGCCCAAGGGTCACAAATGTCACACTTTTTGAAAACTTATTTTATTCATATTTAGGTGGTAGATCATGATATTGATGATGGAATTGATGGCATCTAGATAAAGTAATTGATGTGGAACGATTTTTGATTGACATCAGTGCTTTTGATGGCTCTGTCAAGATACATCAATTTCGTCCCAATTAGGATGTATACCTTTGCCCTGCATCACAAGCCTACCTAGATGTTTATCCGGGTCTTCGGCCTGAAGAAATGGTGATTTGCCTTTCCATATCTGGTAATAGCTTAGTCATAGCTATCAAACTCATTGAGATATTCACAATTGATTGAATGTCACATTTTCCTGTCACAGCATCCTGTTTGGGCTTGCCCAGTTTTGCGAGTAACACCCTTGACCAGTAGCCCAGGTTTTGCTAGCAAAACTGACTGCCTATCCTGGTATAAGCTGCGGCGGTACGGAGCTTCATGGCTTGGGAGACGTTTTCCTTCCACGTGACCGCGTTCCCGCCTTTGATATAGGAGAGTGCGTACGAAATCTTTCGCACCTCGTCGTTATAAACATTCGGGTTGGCTTCGAAGGCCAACCAACAATCGGCCAGGAAGGCGTCTACTTCGCTGGGGTCGCCCGTGAACTCCTTAGGGGGAGAGACGGTTACTCGTGTGTTTCCCCCGTGGGGCCGATGAGCCAAGTCCTCTCTGGCTTGGCGGAGCAGATCATAGCTCTGCATGACTCCCTGCTGTACAGCTGCGTATTCCCCGTTTACTCGGGACAGCTCGGCCTCGAGGACCACTTGTCGATTCGTCAGGGCGGTGTTTTCCGCCTTGAGTTGCTCCATCTCCTGACTCGTTCGGAACAGATGGGCGAACAGGAACTCCTGTTGTTCGTTATGGCCCAGGGCCATGAATCGGGCACGTTCGTCCCCCTGGCTTGCGGGGGTGCCCATCGTACTGTCGTGCTCGGTAGACATTTGTCGCGCTTCTTGCGTTCGTGGGGGAGGCTAATATTCTGTCAGCGTCGGGCTCGGGCCGTATCGGGCGTCGGGGGTCCGACTTCGAAGAGGTCTGAGGAGCATGAGAGATGGGTATTCGCCCGGAGAATAGACGATATTAGCCTAGCGACTACATCTTGTAAGTACGACTTTTATACGCTACGGTATTAGGGATGGATCGGATGGGCGCCAGGTCCCAGGGCGGATCGGATGGGCGCTGCGTAGGGTCGTAGGGGTGAACGGAAGGGGTTGGAAGAATGAGGGGGCGTCCAGGAGGACGACGGTATACGGGCCCGTGCGGCCTTACGGCCCGGACGGCCCGACCCGAACCGTGACATCGACGAACCCATTCCCAAGTACGTCTTGCCCTTGCTGCCTTATTAACCTACTCTGAATTGTAAAAGCTGGTGGCCACGCCAGCCTCGCCAGCGCCATCCGCAGACGCCGACAGCGATGTCGAAATAATCGACGCGCTACATAACGAAGGGCCCAATCCCGACTACGAGGTAGCAACTTCTCTGATTTAGAGGACATTAATGAGTTGAATGCCTAGTTCTTGGTCAACACCACCCAGCGCCATATTGCTAGTCGTACCGAGGATACAGACTCTGCCATGGACACTAGCTCCGCCCGACTCGAGCTCCGACTCTGACGACTCGTGCGACGTTGACGAGGGACGACTTGCTGCTGATGTCATTCGATACCAGCAGCGCAGCCTTCCACACGAAGAACATTGGTCGGCTCGCATATCTCGACAAGATTCACTAGGGTGCGATCCTCTTGAATGTTCATGGTGCATGTCTGCCATCTCCGACGACAACAAGCTTTTCCGATGCGCCGCCAAAGAGTCCTGCATGCGTGGCCTTTACAGCTGCGACTCCTGTATTTTGCTGGCTCACGAACATCAACCGAGACACGGCTTTGTGGATGTAAGCTGTTATTATATTTCAGTTGCCAGTGAAGTTGACCTACTCTGTCAGGAATGGGATCCAGAGACTCTTGGTTGGCGCCAGATACCCATTTCTTTGCTGGGGTACATTTATCAAGAAGGTCATTCAAGCGTTATGGGTACCTGTCCCAACCCCTCGCCGAACACGAAGACGTCACTCATGCCTTCTCCTTGGGGTGAATTCCTTCTCAAGGCTCGAGGCTGTGAATGTCCCTTACCTCCCGTCATCACATACGATTTGGCTTGCCAGTGGAAGGCGAAGAGAGCACGATGGATCGAGAGAATTGTCAACCGCACCCAGGCTGGCCAGCGCGCATCTCAATAATTCTGCTATATGTTCGTTCGAGTCGGTTATTAGAATACCCATAGATACAAATGGCTACGGACTACATCTTTCTTTCTTTTGTCTTGTTCTGTTGTTTCTGTTTGTCTTGTCCTTCTTTCAAAATGATAAATCGAGTCAATGGAGTCAATGCCGCTGCATCATACGCGTCACGATCGCGTTACGGGAGTGACATCGTGACATCTCCTCTGCCTTGCCAACCCTTGATGCCGGTAAGCGGTCGTTTTTCTTCGCTGGTCCTCACTAGTTGCTGACATGACTCGTCGAGGCCGCCGCAGCGCTGTTGAAGAGCTTGGCGATATCGTTCATGAAGAACCGTTGACGAGCATCCCACCTGGTGACCACCACGTGTATGCTTCTCAAGATGGCGCCAGAGCTTATAGGGAGAAGATCTCGGTGGTCAGGAAGACCAAACGCCTTCGAGTCGAAGATTTAGAGGAGGACGACATCCGCCTCGCTGGCTGGACCCCGCTCGTTGCGCCTGCTGACTCCGACTTGCGCGCTTTGGCCCAGACGGTCTCTTCATATGAAAACCGCGCAGGGCACAAGGACGACGAGGAAACGGTGGGATCAGGAGACAAAAGAAAACGATATGCTAGCTCCGTGAGTGTCATTTGCAGACCACTCCTCCTGTCGATTGACTCGCTGGGGCAGGACGACCCTCTCTCGGTTTGGCGTCCCTCACGCGTCAAGTTTTCTGGACGAGTTTATCCGCAGGGATGGATTGGGCGACTTTATTCACCACCCAAAATGTGCCTTTTGTTCATCGACCTTTGGGACGCCTGGCATACGCATTTTCAAGTGTAAACACTGTGGAGAGTACCTTCAGTGCACGGAATGCCTCAAGACCCAGCACGCACGGCAACCGCTTCATGTAGTTAAGGTACGAGTTTCTTCTATCCCGCAGGGTTTGTCGCTGATGATGTTGTCTTTTCAGGAGTGGAATGGACAATTCTGGGCGCGAATTCTGCTCCATGGACCGGCCCATGGCTCGAAAGACGGAGGAGAGAGCCTACAAATGGTCTTCCAAGTCGGACATCACGGCTTCGCCTGCCAGAACCCAAGCGTTGTAAAACGCATGGTAGTGGTTGACGTTCGCGGCATCTTTACCATCGCAATTCAGACTTGCAACTGCACCATCGGACAACGACGCAATACCCTGCAGCAACTCCTTGCTCATGGCTGGTATTAAGGCTTCTCACGAGTGTCACGGATAAATACCTGTACTCTACCTGCGGGTAATTTGGGCTTCAAAACCAATACCTGCATTTGCAGCATCCGTGGGAAACGGGTACCTGTACTCACGGATACGGGTACCTGCACGGGTTATCCACGGGTATTTCATATAAAAAATCAGGATACTAAGGTATATGGACAATATAAGCATCTTATATTGGATGTAGTAGCAAGTAATACACTGCTATGGACACCATAGGACATAGGAAGACTGTAGTGACTGAAACATATACAAGATAATAAATACTATGATCTTCCAAAGTCATACCTGTACTCTTGGCATCCGTGGGAAATGGATACCTGTATCCGCGGATGTCAAACCCACGGATGTTTTCCTGCAGGTACCTGTGCAAACATCCGCGGATATTGACACTCGTGCGGAGCTTTAGCTGGTATCCAGCGACGATAACCGACCCCGCCACCTGCTTTACTTTCGAAGCGCTGGAGCTCTTCCGTCTTCTGAAGGTGGTGGGCAATATCAATGCGCATGATTTCATGGGGAGTCTCGAACGTTTAAACGACCCGGCAAAGGTGGAATACACACCGGTGCGTTTCCAATGCAATGATAAGTGGATAGGAGAAGCTAAAGGGACTCATAGGATCGCTACAAATCGTTCCTCCTCTGTGCACGACAACACGCATACCTGATGCAAGCCAAACGCGCTGGTCGGGGCCATCAGAATGATGGTTTGACTCTTACTCGGAGGGGAGGATTGTGTGTAGAGTGTTGGGCTTGTCCTCGTGATGGTCGCAATGTGCCTGTTGGCTGGCAAAACGTGAGCGGCAAGAAGAGGTATATTCATGTCGCCCGATAGAAGAAAATCCAAATCTGACGCTTTTTTAGCTTCCTCTACAAGCTCATGTTGTCCGTGGACGCCAACTTCCGCCTCAAAAATCGCTTGCGAGCGAATCAACGAAACGACCCCCCCCTTGGAGGGGGTCAAAGTTACTTTGTCGAGAACGAGCCCTACCAGCGGCATTTGAAGGAATACGTGGCCGAGAAAGACGTGAGGTTGATTAGTTTATCGAAAACGCAGTGCTAACCCACATTTTTAGGTGACTACATGTGCTGCCTTTGCGGCACTTATGCAGAAGGATACTAAACTCACAACGGGGCTCCGAGTTTCTGGAGTGGGCGGGGTGGTCTGCGCTCGTCATGGTCTTGTCCGACGCCAAGGAATGGGAGACTTACAAAAAGGCGAACGCTACGCGAACATGGACTTCATTGTCCTGGCTACCTTGGAAGGAGAAACCATCACCAATGTCGTCATCTCTTACGACGTTGTATGCCAATGGCAAGTCCTCTGGCCAACACGGGCAAAGCGCATTATTCAACGTGGGGACTTGGAAGTCGACTTGTCAAGCTTCACGATACAATACGCCCTACCGGTTTGGCACGCGGCGGCACATGAAACATCTTGTCGTTCGAGCAATACCCTTAAGTATGCGTTGGGCGTTGGAAAGACGGATGGAGAAGGAATCGAGAGAACATGGTCACTTCTCAATCCCATCAGTTGGTCGACGAAGGAAATGGGAGCAGGTGGCCGTCAGGATGCAATCGAAGACAAAATTGACCATCTAAATTTCGAGAAGAACATCGGTCTGGGTGAGCAAATACAAGTATACTCGTGCGGGAGATAACTGACAACATCGAAAGGGAATACACTTTTGCGAAAGCTCATCGTTGCCCTGGCGGAGTCCGCCACGCAAGATGGGGAATTCGCCGAAATGTCCAAGAATGTTGCCAAGGAGACTCTGAAGGAATGGGAAGCGACTGTGCACGACTGGGAAATGGACCATTCCAAGCCCAACCCTTACCTCGTCATCGGAGGGAAAGAAGGTGCAGAAAAATGATATTCACATGGGAAGATTAACTTACGTTCGTTTCTGAAGCTGGTCCTTCGGAGCGCGAAATACTGGCAGATTTGAAAGCGGCCGAGCTGGAAGATGCGAGAGCTGGTTTGGTTCCTATCATCGAAGGAGGGAAAATGACGGCGGCTGCGTTTATTAAGAGTGGGCTTGTTATCGAGGAGTCTCAGTGAGTTCATTGCAAATAAAGGCTAGAATACTATTGACATCATACTTTTCGCAGACGTCGGATTCTGGCTGAGTTGGAATCAAAATCTTTGCTGTCGGCAGACCGTTCTAGCGCCATTCAAGAACAGCGATATTCAATCCTTAAAAAGCTGAAATCGTGGGAGCAGCTGCAGCTGAGCTACATGGCGGGAGCGCATGAGTTGCGATTGGCTGACAACGACCATCGACCCGCTGAAGTCCCTCCTCCAAAGATGGAACTAACCAAACTGTACTTCCCCTCCGACATTCCTGCGGCACAGCGAAACGTAATTTGCGCACGAGGCGTTATCGACGCTGAAGTAAAGCTTCGGATGGGACAATGTTCAGATGCATTGACTAGCTTGCGTGGCTATCTCTACACGCAAGCGCATCTAATCTATTGGCGAAACGCAAATTCTGTGGGGCAGCGACAGTCGACGCGATCGGCAACCCTGCTGGCAAGGGTGGGGGAGCGTATAAGGAGGGGTTCAGCCAAGTACAGAAGGGCTTACGAGGCTCTGGTTGCGCTGAAAGGAGTAAATTTCGCCCCCCATTTCCGAAAACTGGAGGCAGGAGACATCAGCAAGCGACCTGAGGTCGAAAACGACATTCGGGCAATGAAAAAATTACGGGCAGCAGAAGCGGGGCGTGCTTCTCGCAATGAGCCCACGCAGGGTACTCTGACTTCAGCAGTCTCGTGGATTTGGACGGTGAAGGGGGGCGATGACCAGCAGTTGCATGATTGTAGGTCTTTTGCGTCTTTGTGGCGAGTAGCCCGACTAATGTTTTACTAGCAGTACGTGTTGATTGGAGCAAGGCGAAAGCTCGTCGAGACCGTTGGCAGGAAGAAGTCGCATTATTGCGTGAAGAAATGAAACACGTTCTACGCAGCCTAGCAGCGATACAATCGGATTGGCGCGAGCGGGCAGGGAGGAAGAACAGGGGTTGATGCCGCATTGGCTTCAGGTTTATCGGCATACGCTAAAAGCCAATCAGCTGTCCACAAAGCTATTGGGGAGTCGTTTTTCGCGAGCTGGAGCCAATCAGTGTTGGGTGCAATCGAGATGATACAGAATGGAGAGGTCCTGAAGGGGCTACTTGACGGGACGGCGGAGGAAACCTTGGAGCTGGATATACAGGTACAGGAGGATGCGGGGACGGAGCGCGCGGGCGGGGAACGTATAGCGCCACCAGAAGAAGACATCGCGCCAGCACGGAGATACGCAACGCGGTTGCAGACGCGGGTCACGACGATGGAAAGTAAATTATAGCGATAGTAGTAAAATTTTAAATATTGAAAACACGTGCAATTGCAGGATTTGTTCCCGCGAGGATGCCGTGGGTTCCGCAGGACCCAGTGATAGATGGCCCTGATGAGTTCTGAGCCGTGGCTGGCCGTGTAAGGTGGGGCGGAAGCCTTCATTCGTGGCCCCTCCAGGGGGGCTGGGGCGGCCAGGGTTAAATCAATCATTTGGGATGGACAGCTCCACATGTGAAGGATTCAGATCACTGCCAAGGGTGGGCCTCCAGGAGCGCCGCCTCCCCCTCCTCCTCCTCCAATGGGTAGTGGCTTGCCCGTAGTACCTCCGGATGCTGGTTGGAACAGTTACCAAGGATATCAGCAATTTCAGATCGACACGCGTATGAAACAATCTGAGCTACCAAGTTGGGACGGCAAGGGAAGTTCCTTGATCAAGTACCTCGTCGGCATGAAAGATTTAGCTCGAAAAGGTCCGCTAATGCAATACCAAATGGCACAAGTCGCTCCTCAAAGATGGGAAGGAGCGGCCAAGGGATGGTGGGAAGTCTTGCCGGATGCCGTCAAGGACTTGCACCAGACTTCTTGGGTGCACATGTTGCGGGCTCTAACGTCGCAATTCATGTCCTCCAGATGGGAAAGAGAGGAGATTAGCCGATTCGAATCAATGTTTTTCAGGCAAAAGGGATACGAAAGCGAACTTCCTACAGAATTCTTCCAACGGCGCATCTTGCTCGCCAAATTCTTGTACGCTTCGGACGATGAAGCGTCAGCGGTGCATCGTATTATTCACAACCAACCCGACACTTGGAAGGAATCCATCGACGAAGTCCGTTGTCCCACAATCGCCCATCTCATCATACTCGCCGAGCACTTCGGAGAAACCTTGGTGTACTCCTGGGAATCAGCCAAACTCATACGGGCCCTGCGCGAGCAACAGGAGAACGGTACTAGACCACCTAAACGATTTTATGGGAATCGTAGAGCTCATTTGGCCACCGCTGGTGAAGAATCGGAGTGAGAAGAGGAAGAAGAGGAGCCAGATAAAGAGGCTATGGCGGTAACCAACCCACGCTGGGGCGCTCGAGCCAACCGCTCCAAAAGTATCTGGCCAAAGGGGGGAGAAATGAAGGGCGTCAAGTTTACGCGTGACGATTCGGTCAAAACGGATCCCCCGCCCAAAGGAGACTGCTTCATATGCTCCAGCCCTTTGCATCACGCCGCGCAATGCCCGAAATACAAACTTTGGAACAATACTCGGTCGGCGCACTTAGCTGAGGCATTACTCGCTCTAGTAGACCAGGATCGAGACGAACGTGATAGAATTCTTAACACTGACTCCGAGAATGACAATGTTGTTGCTGCTTATTCCCCGTCCGAGCCTAAAAACTTAAGCTCAAGCCCCCTCGCACAAGTCTTGCAGTCGGATTCCGCCCTGCATAAGATCGTCTTAACGGTGGCTTACTCGGGGAACCGCAACACTCGAAGGAGAGAGGGTCTACGGAAAAGAATCCCCGCTTTCCGCAAGGGGAAGGAGCGAGCACTAAGGGCGGAATCGAAACCGCTGCCCTTGCCAGCTTTGGACAAATTGGCTAGACACGTCACTTCGCCCTTGACCATGGACTCGGAAGTAACTCCCAGCGGCGAATTTGGTGCAAGTTATTCGACGCTTGCGACAGCTGCCCGCCGGCATGGCTTCTGTCGGCGCGAAAGCCCTTCACATCCTGGCTCGAGTCGGCTCCCCTGTGCAACCGCACATAATCGTTCGTCTAGATTCGGGAGCGGACTTGACACTCATTTCGGAAGAATACGCAAACTCCGTCCCTGGCTTACCTCCTCCCAAGGAAGGGTTACGAATGCAGTTATACCATCTCACAGGGAAAGCAAAAGTCTTAGGGTATGTGCGGATTCCGCTGTACGTGACTACGGCCGAGGACGAGTTGGTTAAGCTGGAGGTGGAAGCTTATGTAGTCAGAGGAATGCAAGTTCCTCTGCTACTGGGTGAGGACTTCCAATCGGCTTATGAGCTGGGAGTAAAGAGACAAGCATCAGGCGAAAGCGAAATATCCATCGGCGCCACAAGACATCGCATCCCCGCCTCCTCCACTTCGGAGATTGACCTGGGCTTCTAAATGAGAAACGTCAACGTGGCAAGAACCTTGAAGGAATACGCACCGGGTCCATCAGGAGCTCGCAAATCGCGCCGAAAAGAGCAACCAATCAAGAGCGATGAGATTCTAGTTCGAGCCGAAAAGGACGTACTCATATCAGCCGGCTCGGTACACAACGTACGGGTCGTGGCTCCCATGGAAGGGAGGCAGAATTGGCTAGTCGACAAGATACTGCTGACCATGGACGATGGTAGTGTCATGGCCGCTCCTACGACCCTAATTTCCAAGGACGTCCCTTTCGTACCGATAGCGAACACCAGCACAAAACCGTGGTTCGTTCGCGCGGGGGATGTCGTCGGCATCCTTCGTAACCCGGAGACTTTGGAAGATTGGCCTCAGGACGAAGAAGCACTGAGTCGCATGGCCGCGAGTGCGGAAGCTCTTACTAGAGTCATCCGCGCCACTGCCTCCGTTGACGATCCGAGGGCAGAGCGAAGCGCCGTCCCTCCTGAAGATTCTAGAGCAGTCCCGAGTAATGACGACCTAGACGAGGAGCTGTGGGGTCCTAAAACCACGGCCGTTCCGGAGCCGGATGCCGGCGACGAGAACGCGGATGTGGCCGAAGCGGTGTGTCTAGGCCCGGATGTGCCTGCCGATATCCTACCCCGGTTGCAACAAGTGCTACGGAAGAACGCCGCGGCCTTCGGCGTGGGAGGCCGACTAGGTCACGTTACCGAGCAAGCTTCGGTTCCCATAAAGGAAGGTACACAGCCGGTCTCCTTGCCCATATACGCGGCCTCCCCTGAGAAACGACTAGTCATCGACAAGCAGATGGATTTGTGGATAGAAAGGGAGGTTATCGAACCATCCGTTAGTCCCTGGGGAGCCCCTTGTGTAGTGGTGTTTCGCAACGGCAAGCCGCGGTTGGCGGTTGACTACAGGAAGCTGAACGCTTCTACTGTAGCGGACGAGTTCCCTATCCCGCGCCAGTCCGAGATCGTGCAGGCTCTTTCGGGATCACAGGTCCTATCCTCTTTTGACGCGCTCGCTGGATTCAACCAAGTATCTATGGATGACGAAGCTAAGCCGAGGACTGCTTTCCGTACTCACCGAGGGCTATGGCAATTCAGGCGGATGCCGTTTGGATTGCAGAATGGGCCTTCAATCTTCCAACGAATCATGCAGGGAGTGCTAGCTCCGTTTTTGTGGCTATTCGCACTGGTATACGTCCAACGACATTGTCGTCTTTTCGAAGGACTGGGAAGAGCACCTGGTTCACCTGGACCAAGTTCTTACGGCCATACGAGGGGCAGGCATTACGCTCGAACCGAAGAAATGCTTTATTGGTTACACCTCTATACTCCTGCTAGGCCAGAAAGTTTCACGGTTGGGGTTGTCGACTCCCTAGCAGGGGAGGATCCAAAGAGAAGAAACTCTAAGGGTCCGCCTGCTAGGTAGCGGAACTATATACTGCGCTCTTGACGCGCCAAGGTTGATCGTTGCTCCGTGCAGTATGCCTGCGCCATGTCGCAGGCCAGGTCCCAGGGGGATCGCCAGGCGGGGGCGGCGATGCGCCTGACGGAGGCGGTGATGCGATCACCGGAGTCGGAGCCGGAGTCGGACCGGAATCGGAATCGTCTCCGAAGGGCCGAAAGGGAGGTTCCCCTGACATCACCCCCCCCTTTGAATGCGGCGTCCCGACGCATAGACCGGAACGGAATCGAGTCGAAGGTCGCGGAGGCGATGTGCCGTGGTTTGCCAGGGTACTTACGGTAGAACTCCGCGATTTTGTCCGGGGCGAAGACGCGGTCGAAGCGGACCCACTGGTCGTGCGACGCGTCGTAGCCTTTCCATCTGACGAAGTAATTCAGCCGTTTATACCTCACCCTTGCGTCCAAGATTTCCTCTACTTCCCACTCCGGGACTCCGTCCTCGAGGTCCGGAGGGGGCTGGTCGTAGCCGGGGCGTCCGTCGAAGGGGTCGTCTTGGGCGAGCTCAAGCTTGACGACGGGGAAGACCGGGTGGAGCTTCGAGTAGCGCGGAGGGAGGTCGAGCTTGTAGGCACCTTTGCTGACCTCCGCGACTATCTTGAACGGTCCGAGGCGGCGGAGGGAGAACTTCTCCGAGGGGCGAGTCGTCCTGATGTCAGAGGCATCCAGCCAAACACGGTCGCCAACCTTAAACTCCGGAGACGGAGTCCGTCTCCAGTCGTAGTAGCGCTTGTACTCCTCTTTGGCCTTAGTGAGCGCGGCCTTGGCTTCAGCAACACCAGTGGCGATCCGGTCGCGGAACTCGTTCACCGACTCCATGGCGGAACGGACTCCGGGTTCGAAGCCCATGCGCGGGAGCCGTCCCGTGTCCGTCATGAAGGGGACCTGCTGCGTGGAGGAGTGAACATGGTTGTTGTAGGCGAACTCCGCGGCCGGAATCAGCTCATCCCAGTCGTCCTGCTGGTAGTTGGTGAAGATCCGCAAGTACTGCTCCAGCTCCTGGTTGACGCGCTCTGTCTGACCGTCTGTCTGCGGGTGGTACGCGGTGGACGTGGCAGGCTTGATGCCGATTAGACGCCAGAGTTCTCGGGTGAAGTCCGCGATGAACTGCGAGCCGCGGTCGGAGACGTACTTCTCCGGAGTCCCGTGATGGCGCCAGACATTCCGGTAGTAGAGGCGAGCCGCCCCTACTGCGTCGACCGTGGTGTGACACTCCGAGAAGTGGGCACGCTTCCCAAGGGTGTCGACAACGACCATGATCGCGTCGTACCCATGGGCCTCCGGAAGCTCGACGATGAAGTCGACGGAGACGGTATGCCAGCGTTCCGGGGGCGTTTCCGTGGGGTGCAGTTCTCCGTGGGGCAGTCTCCGGAGTGCCTTGGTGCGACAGCACAAGTCACAGGTCGCAACATACCGGCCAATATGGCGAGACATCTGAGGCCACCAGTAGTTCCGGGAGACCAACTCCAGGGTCTTGAAACGACCTGCGTGTCCGGCGACTCGGGTGTCATGGCAGAGCTCGATG